TATTTTTTTATACAATTTTTACGAATTAAATGGTTTTTTTTTCTACTTATAAAAATGACTAAAATATTGATAGGATATATTGATAGGAGGATATGAGTAAGTAAAGTAATAAGTAAAGGCCCGCCACATACATACGGAATTCCGTTTTGGATTCTGTTTCGGAATTTCGAAACCGAACGAACGGGTCGGCCACACACATATGGAATCCTGTTTTGTCCGCAAAATTTCGAACGGAAAAATACCGTAGGTGTCGGGTCATTGATTTTATACGGACTTCCTGCGTTCGGAATCCCGGATTAGAATTTTGAAACGGAATTGCTGAGCTGTTGTCGTTTGCATGTGCTTTCTGCCCAGCAGGTATCGGGCTTCGGGGTATGCCCCCTTTACCCGGACATTCCTCACGGCACACTACAGTGTGCCGGTCCTGGGCGCCTTTGATGTTAAAAGGCGTTGTAGAAAACGACTTTTTGTCGAAGTCGGGTAATTTTTTCAAAAAAAGGTTGGTTATCTCAATAATTGTGTTTAACGCAATTATTTTGTCTAAGTTGGCCTTTCTGCAGCATTGTAGGATTTACTCGACTCTCTAATCTATATAGGGAGGAGTTCTCTTGGATAGGGTCGCCCGTCCGGGGGCCGTGAGTGCAACGGCGCGAAGCCGTTGAAGTGTTCATGTGGCCCGTTGTCAGCGCGGTCGAACATACCGCGCGCCAGCCGGACTACAAATTCTTGTAGGCTCTCAATCTTATGGTTGTACGCTATGTCGTTATTCCGGACGTAGCGACCCGCACCGACTATGGTTCGTAATGACAAGTGGTGCTGGGCCTGTAGTCGCCGCATCTGTTGATCGCTCAGGAGCGCATACCAGGCCGGAGCAGCGTATGTTAACAAAGGGTCTTATATACATTTTATAGATGGTCAACTTCGACTTTGTCGGTAACTTGGATGCCAGGACAGGACGGAGCATCGCCCGCGCACTTCGAGCTTTGCGGACAATAAAGTCGACGTGCGCAGTCATGCGCAACATCCTGTCAATTCGACATCCAAGGTAGGTCACGGCCTTCGCATATGCTGTCTCCTGGCTTCTGAGGGTTAGCGGTGGTGGAAGTCTTCTGAAGCGACGATTGAGCACTCCATCATCCTACCATGGTGGCAGCAGGTCCAGCAGACGTTGCATCCTGGCAGTGGCGATATGGGCTCTTCTGGACGAGGTGAAGTAGGCGCTGTCATCCGCAAAAAGCGCCAGCTCGACGTCTTTCTCCCATTCGTGCAGGTGCCCTGCCAGGGTAGGGATGTCATTGGTGCAAGCCGCGTACAGGACTGGCGACAGACAGCTGCCCTGTGGCACACCAGCTGTTATGGGTTTTATTGCGGACTCGGCGTCCTCTACACAGACGTAGAACTTCCTGTCTACGAGGAAAGACGCCACTAGCCGCAATATAGCAGGAGGGACACTGGTCTGATCGTCTAACTTATAGAGTAATCCTGAGTGCCACACCCTTTCGTCGACAGCCTTCTCGATTTCGAGAAAGACGCCCGACGATGTGCGGCCGCGGTTGCGCTCGGCCGCAAGCAGGTGCAGCACTCTGGTCAGCTGTGTTGCTGTTGAGTGGTTAATCCTGAATCCATGCTGCTCCGCCCGAAGTTTGATGCACGGGCGGAGACGTCTGAGCAGTATTCTTTCAAACAGTTTAGCTATATGCGGTAGCAGCGTGATCGGCCTGTAGCTGACAGCTCTACGCCTGTCCTTCCCGAGTTTCGGCAAGGCGATGATTTTGCCTTTCTTACAGTCCTCCGGGAAGTGGGATATCCGCAATATGCCATTGTAGAGTCGACCTATCTCTGCAAGGACTCTATTGGGCAGCTGTCGTAGTGCAGCGTTGGTAATCCCATCGTGCCCCGGCGCCTTCCTCGGTTGCGGGCGGGTTGCTGACCTCCGCAGTTCAGCGGGGGAGATAAACCACTCACCTGCAAGCGGTGGCGCGGGCGACGACAGGAACTCCTGCACGCGGCTCTCCTTCCGGGTGTGGATTTCTATGAACTCCGCACTTGCCGGGTTCGGCATAAACTGCTCCTCAAAGTGCGGTATCAGCTTTTGGATATCCGCTGAGTGGATCGGTGCGTGGACTGAAGGTCTCTCTTGCAGGTGTTGGTGGTAGAGCCTCCAGTCGATCTTGGTCTTAACGGCTCTGGGCGGCGAATTCACTGCCTTGGTGCCAAGGGAAATCAGAATCGGGAGGTGCTGTGTATTTAGATCGTACAGCACCTCTACCACTACCGGGTAGTTGACGTTCCTAGTGAACACGATGTCAAATACATCTGGACGCTTCCTAAGGTCAGTAGGGATATGCGTCGGTTCCTCGGGACCTAGTACGTCGTAGTTCTGGCTTTCTGCATCATCATAGAGTTCACGACCCGGCGGGTTGATCAATCTTGATCCCCACGCCGGGTGTTTGGCGTTTAGGTCTCCGGCGATGATGGTGGGTGTCGTTACCTTCCATAACCGTCCGGATGTCTGAGGGGTAGAATGGAGTCCCTGGCGGGTGGTATGCTGTAAAAATCCTTAGTTTCTCGCCCGCCGCCTCCATTTTACGATATACCGATTGAACGCATCGTCTGGAAGTCTGGTAGGTCCAGTTCTTGGTGGACGATGTCTCTCCTCACCAGAATCGCTGTCCATCTGTAAGCGATCCCTTGAGGGTTGACCTCGTCCCTCCTGTAGATCGTGTAGTTTGGCAGCTTAAGATGCGTTGATGGTCTTATTTTGGTCTCATCCAGCAAGATCACCTGGATGTCCTGCTGCTGGGCGACCATGCGTAGTTTATGGATCCTTTGTTGAATCCCGTCTGGGTTCCAGTAAAGCAGATGCAGGTTACTATCCTCCGTAGTGCCTAGCCAGTAGTGTTGCTAGCGCCTTCATAACGGCGGTTACAGGATCTGTCCCGGCCCTTATATCAGCCAAAACTTGTGTACCGACCTCGATAGCTATGCCTACCAATCTGTGAATGGCATCAGCTGTCTCGAGGCCGGACGTTGATGGTCTACGTTGTTGTGAAGGCACTGTTCTCGGGGCATTTATGGTGGTCTCTCTATATGTAGAGTGCGCTCTCTGTGTAGAGCGTGCTCTATATGTAAAGTGGGCTCTACTTTCTGGTAGAGCCCTTTCTGGCGCTCTACCCGTCATGTTTTTCGGTGGTGGTCTCTCAGTAACCTGCGCCTGTGAGGCTATCGGTCCTGTTGTTGTAGGGGTAGAGATAACCACAGCCTGAAGAGGGGGCTGTTCAGTCTTCCTGCTCCTGTTCCTCCGCCTCTTCCTTTGGGAAGGTTACCTCTCCGTGGCGTTATTGGCAGGAGGTTGGAGAGTCGCCCCGGTGGTTGCCCTTTACTCTACGGGTTCCACCGTTTCCATTGGTATTGTAGGAGGGGGTGGAGGCGGGGGGGCTGGTTGCCTACCCTTCCCTCTGGTGATTGTGACCCACCCATCCTCCAAGATGGTAACAGCCTTTGGGCGACTCTGGGAAATCCTCTTGGGGTTCTCCGGGAGTAGCCCAGGTAGAACGATCCCCTGCTTCCTGGCAATCCTCCTCAGAACTGGGCAGCGGCGATTGTTGGCCGTGTGGTTTTTTGCACAGTTTTTTTTGCGCACTTTGGCTCTTCCTCTCTACCCCTTGGGCAAAGGCTAGTAATATGCTCCCCAGCACAGCGAACGAATTTCACTGGCCTAAAGCAGTTTGCGGAGGCGTGGCCAAAAGCCTGGCAACGGTGTCATTGTGCCGGTCCCGTCTTTCTCTGCCAGGCTTCGATGACGACTCCTCTCATATAGAGGAGCTCGTCAATCCGATAAAGGTCTTTTAGCCGCTCCAGTTTCAGATGGTCCAGCTGTGCATGGGAGAGGCAGCCCGGTCTGCCTCTACGTAGTGATATGGCCTTTACATAAGTGATGGGGAAGCCTTTTGCCCGGATAGCCTCCTCAATCGTTTTAGTATCCGTGCCCACTGGCAGGCCCCGGATGCCCTCTTTTGTGGGCTTCTCTTCAGCCGGGGTATAGCAATACCACGACATGGTTGGTAGTTTCTCGGAGAGTTCGACCATATATCTCTGTATTGTTCGAAACTCCTCCGGACTCTGGGGTGCGAACCTTACAACCTTCCCGAACGGACGGGCATTAGGAGGATGGCCCAACTTTCTATTGAGCTCCTCAAAATGCCTGGTCCAGTCCGGGAGGCATTCAGCAACAATCGGCGGATATCTCACTTTCTCTTCTCTTTTTCGGTTTTCTGTGGCTCTTCCGCCGCTTACGGTCGTGTTATTGCGGGCGCCGCAGCAGCACAGTGATTTGTGACATTCCTTGGGAGAGGCCTATATTCAGTAGTGGATTCGCGAAAGGCTCTAATGATGATGATGATGATAACGTCCGATTTAGACAGAGAAACCGAGGTGTATCTACAATAAATGATCCAATTTTGCTAATTTTGGCACGGAATAGATGCTTCTAAATGAAAGCCCACGCAAGTGAAGCCGCGGGTGAAAAACTAGTTTAAAATATAATGATGAAAAGGAATTAAAACTGTGGAACCCTTAAGTTTTCCTCACCTTCTTTCTATAATATTATTATCCTAAACGTATCAGACTGAAACACGGAAATAAACTTACTGCTGCCTAGCGGAAAAAATTAAACATGATTGAATTTCACTCAAGCTAAACAAATTAATTCAAACAAAATGGAAACAGAGCATATACAAGTATATAATTCCAATAAATGTTATCAAACTAATTTAAATATTCTATTTAATTATTTATCTTTCGATTTTATAAGGTACCGACAATAAGAAATGAAAACAAGATAATTATGATAAATACGTAAACATAATATGAAATAATTGTAAGCACATAAGGTCATAATGTCAAAACATATTTTGCAGGTAACTGAGATATAAAAGCTCCCATGGTGACTGATCGCTTCATTACTCTGAAATACCTCGACCAATATGTACGTCGGAGTTATGGCATTCAAAGTGAGTATAAAAAGTTAGGATATAATATGCACGGAGAATATAAACGCGGGTTATTTTAAATTTCTTTTCTTACTCTCCATGATTAATATCGTAGATTCATAGTAGAATTATTCATAGTCTTTAATAAAACCCAGTCTATCTATCCATACGATTACAATGCAGGTGTTTTTAAGGCAATAAGCTCAGTCAGTGCAGTTTGCCATCTTCGACTGCATCACCACTTACCATCATACCATCAAGTGAATCAGTAGTCAAGCACTAGTCCTCCTTTCGCTCCTCCCTTTTGTCGTTTTTTTTTTCGTCTTTTTTGGGGGCTTTTGTGGGGGTTTTTTCTCATGTGTTTGCTTTGATCACAATCAAATTTTTGAATTGATAAAATATCATTATTGCGGTTTTTTAATTTCAATATACATAATAAATATATTTATATTTGTTTTTATTTAATTTGATTATTTTTGAAAACAGGCTGTCACCAGACTGCTTACAGCTAAATATAATATACAAGTAATAAAATAAGCAGATGATGGCCAATAACAAGTTCATTTGAAGATAAAACAGAACGTAGTACTAATTAAAGTATATTTTTACAGATTGCTGCTTTGCTTTTACTTCTAGTCGCTCTCGGTTACGGTGTGTATAAAATTTTAGACATGAAGTAGGTATATAAAGTATAAAAATTTCTATATAAAATAAGTAGTAGAATATGTAATGAAAAAATTAATAATCGGATAACCAAATGTTATGTACCATAAAATGATCTGTTACCAGATTGCAGTTATATTATTAGTATAGTTGTAGGACGAATGGGTCGGCTCGACCGAGGAAGGATCTCGCTGTTACGGAATACCAGCGTAAAATACTAGCTTAATGCTGGTGTGTTTCGTATAGTGAATGTAGGGCATCGGAGACCCTTTTTACTGGAAACGAGGCATTCCATCTTAGTCCTCACGGATGACAACGTATCTGCATTTTGATTCGTAATCGAGGATAGATGTAAATGTCTATGGGCCACAGCAACTACTTTCCATCACGTGGGCTGTGTGCCCGTTTTTTACCCTATCCTATAAAATAACAGACTTATATAGATTACCTTTTTGGTTCAGTTGTGGCAGTAATCAGCTCTATTGTGAATCAGCTCTATTCGAAATATTTTTTTTTCTTATTTCTCAGACATGCAGGTTTCCTCACGATGTTTTCCTTCACCGCCGAGCACGTGGTAAATCAGCACTTAAAATTGCAATTAACAATTTAATTGGTGCCGGCGGGGATCGAACCCGGTTTGCTCGCGTATTGTGAAATTTACAGCGAGCGCTAACCATCTGAGTTACCACGGCTCTTATATTGGAAATTAGCACTTCATCGTGTTAATTTTACTACGTAGTACTATTATTTATTCCGAGATATCACTCTACTCTTTGGTTAGCACTATAGAATTATTTTTGTTTTACAAACCAAAAACACCTTTCCACAGGTCTGACGCACCGAGGCCGTTACGGAAAGGGAGGATGGGGAGGACAGGGTGGCTTTGGTCACGGAGGTAGTCGAGGCGGAAATGGAGGCTACGGTGGTCACAACGATTTTGGATCTGAAGGTGGTCACAACGATTTTGGATCTGAAGGTGGTCATGGTGGTCAGCGCAGTTACGGCGGACACCGTGGCGGGTAACAAGAGTACGGATATTAGTTTGTAATGTTTAATAATAAAAACTTAATATTTATCTTTACTTTTTTTATTTATCATTTCGTTTATTAGATGCCTATTAATTACTTAAAATTGGGAGTTTTGGTGCAATTTTTTTCAAAGTAAAGTTTTATCGTTTAAATAATTATATAGTTTGAAGTGCCTTTAAATACGTTATTTTGTGTATTGAGTGACTGCGAATGCGAACTTTGGGTAGAAACGGTGAAACAAGTGCTCAGTCGATGTTGAGTTGTTTGTCCGCTTAGGCGCCGTAACGGGAACAAATTACTGTAATAATAATTTGTTACACTTACACGAATACAAAGAGAGTCAGTCCTGGGAGCTCAGGGGCTAAGCGCTCACTCTTCACAGTACCGGCACCAGTAAAATTGTTAATTGTAATTTTAAGTCCTGATTTACAACGTGCTCGGCGGTGAATGAAATATATAAATATATAATATCTTGAGGAAACCAACATGTCTGAGAAATAAGATAAAGAAATATTTCAAAGACATGTAAAGTTTGCCAACACGCATTGGGATAGCTAGGCGGACACTTCCTTGGCCTAAAACCCCACACAGAAATGAAAGGAGGCATGAGCCCAGCTGTGGGACGTATATAGGCCGTAACTTTAACTTTAACACGAATACTTGACATTGAATAAAACTAATTGAGTGAAGAATCCGGCCACCGGCCACCATCCGGCCGTGTTCCTGTTGCCTACTACCTAACATATATCAGAGGAGTCACAAATAAAACTGGCTACATATTTAAGCGAGCCTTCATTAAAACCTAATACAAGTCACCGTAAAAGTTTAGTCAATAAGACGGCTACGTGGCTCAGTAATATGTAGCGGTGCTGGGGGCCTCGGGTTCGAATTTTGCACGGAACAAGTATTTGTATGACCCGTCTGTTCCGGATCTGGACGTTTGTCCTTGTGCAATTTATAAAAATCCTAAAGTGGTAGGTATAGTTTATTAAAAAAATTATCATCCGTCAAACAAGATGCAAAAGTGAAGAAGCTTGATTTTAAATATGATCTGATGAACAAATAGCTGACGTTAAACATTGACGCTACGGAAATTCTACAGTCAGTGAAATTTGCAAGATTATCTCTGCTATTAATTCAGATTTCATAGACCATACATTTTCGCAAAAGAATACCGATTCCTACCAAGGATGATTCGCTAGGCTATTATCAACAAAAACCAGCCATCTTCTCTACTGCATTTAGGAGTTCCAGTAGACAAGATGGCTGAGCCATCTGGTTGAGATCTTATATAAAAAATTAAATTAAATCAAAACCCAAGCATATATTTGCTATAATTCAAGATACTGTATGCTCGTTCTGCGTAGATCGGACTAACTCTAAAATAAGGACGTGAAACACCTCAGTCCACCCGTGGAGGACTATCACGTATCGTTCCTATTACTTGCATTGGCAAAAGTTCTGTCGTATGAGTCCATTACAAAAGAAAAAAAATTTAAACTTGTTTACAACATTTTAATACGAGAACTTCCATTTCGGCTATGGTCTATAGACGGACAGTCAAGACGCATTTATCTATCTATGAAAAATGTGTGTGTATGTGAAACTAAAATTAATTAGTTATCACCCGTTTGGTCTAAGACGAAATTCCTCGTTATCGGTCGTTTCGTCTCAACGAAAAGAACATATTTGATACGACACAAGTTAATGTTAGAGTTGGGGTGACAGATTCAGCACTTTTGTTGCAATGTGCGCAATCAGTATAACAGTATCATTTACATATTAAATAACATTTCAAATAATAATGTGTGGATGTAGAGCATGCAGCATTTATATTATACTAGCGGTGCCCGCCCTCTCTAGTATATACACAGTAATCTTTGACCCGCCCTGAGTAATGCTTTTTGTCAGAATCATTCGAGAGCGTGCGCACAGTAACTCACCCATTGTTATCGAATGGATGGTATATAATATGAGCAGAGAAACGCGTAGAAAACGAGCGAGCCGATCAAACTATTAAACAAGTATTCATTATTTTTGTCAGATATTTAGCGGGCTAACACTTAACGATTCACCAAAGTTTCATCGTCATCAGAAAACGTTTTGGTCTAAAGATTTGTCAGTTTGTTACGTTTTATTTTAAACTAGCGACCTGTATCGTCTTTGCTTGCATAGGGTCTACTGATGTTGCGATATTGAGATTTATGTTAATCAAAGACGGAATATCCTATGAATATTTCATTTTGTTTTTCAAAAAAAATGTTAAGTTTTTCGGGTAAGTTACAGCCTAGATCCCCTGAAATTGCTTTTTATTCTTTTAGTAAAATTCCATCACCATTTATTTCAATATTACAGATAGACACTTCACTTTAACTTATATGTATAAATGAAATAAAACCAAAAATGCAATTAAAAAATAAGAATGTATTCATTAAATGAATATGGAAGTCGTACACTTATATTGGTTTCGGTCTAACTGCTTTCGCAACAATACTCCTCAGCACTTTATTCAGGCAACCTCTTCTCACTTGACGGCTACTGTCCAGCTAGCCGAGCGGTCTCCCGTCTTTTAATCTCTTATATAGTTTATAAGAGGAATGAATACAATTACACAAAGTTGTGTTAAAATTCTATGATCAAATTAGAAAAACAAACGCAAGTGCTCGTCAACGAGGATGAGACGTCACTCTGCGATGACGTTCTCATACCAGGTTCCAGTTTAGCGCTGTACATGCTGTCAACACGTCGACAACTGCGCTCTAATATTTTATACTAATATGTACGTTACAATTTTTAAATTAACGTTACAGGATGTAGATGGCTCAGGATCGTGCTTTGTGAAATGCTAATGATGATGATAATCAACCCTTTTTATGGGTACCATAATATTAATTATTGCAATATTTAACGTCCAACGTAGTTATTTTAGGCATAACTACTTATGAATACTCTAATAAACATATTGTATATGCTTGTTTAAATTAAATAAAAAAACAATAAAATCCTCCGTAAATCTTAATAAATTAATAATTTCAATAAAATCATTTTTCATAGAGGCAACCTGTGTCCTTGTGTGTACCTTCATGGCGGTACTTTAAAAATATTTGTTAATTCAATATTAGCGTTACAATTCATAACAATTTTATTTCTTAACAGAGCATGACTCAAGCCCAAAAATTCAATGAATATATAATGAATTCTACAAAACGTGTAATTTATAATTAATTAATGAACGCGTGTCCTCATTTCACTAACTTCTGTTATTCCTTTGTGATATGTTATATTTTTATTCTCTTTATGGTAGTTATCAAGATTATATTACTGGTGACACTTGTCACTGAACTGTCATACTAAATGACGAATCAAAAATGTTCGTCCATTTTGTTGATAATACGGTGGGAAGATTTTTGTGGTGCAGTGATTATTCGACAATTGAGAGTTACATTTTACTGTGACTTTTAAAGCATCGGCAAGTGCTTTTATTGTTTTATAACTCAGCTTAAAATAAATGGTGCAATTGCTTTAAAATAAAATATTCGTAGGAGAGTAACAACTGGTATTGCGAAAGAGATTTTTTTACATTAGACACAATTAATACGTTCATATATGTTATCATATTGATTACTTTTTACTGTGACGTAACAGATATGAACAGTTAAGATTTGTTTATATTGTACACATATAAACATATTTTAATTTATTAATATTTCTCTTTTTCATGTTGGTATTATTCAATATACTTGTTACATGTGAAATTTATTTTAAATATACAACAAAACTACAGCATATCTAATGCCAATTTGATCAAATCAATGCGATTAATACTTAATTATTAATTATAAAAAATATATCTTCCATATTGTTAATACGATTTTATAGGAATGTGACAGACACTTATGGCTTCTGAAAGACCAGTCAAAGGTAAGCATCTATAAAATCTATTTTCAAGTGCAGTTTGGGTAATTACCTAACACAGATGATTACTTAAAAAAGTTAGGTATACACAGTTTAAAAAAGTGGATTTGGACTGATTCGGATTGTCTTTTATGAACAACGATATTAGTAGTAGAAAGTCAGTTAAATTTGCTTTTAAAACCTAAATTACACTTTATAGGTGATTTGACAGAGCTGCTTGAATCAGCCTTTCAGAAACGGGGGTTGGAGTGCACCTAATTATTATTTTGCACTTTGATTTGCATATAACAATTCTCATGTGCCATGTGTATTATATTTGTAAAATGATTACGACAATTATACTGATTTATCACAATATTTGGTGTCTTATTAAAGTCTTACTAATCCCGATACGTTTATGCATCTAGACCAAAGAGAAATAACTTTTATAGATCCTAAAGCACTTAGTTTGAGACAGAGGAAAAGAAAAACTTCAAAAATATTTTATTTTTTTTATTTTTAATAGCTAAATATTTAATTTAAAGCTTTAATTTTATTATTCCACGAGAATTAGGGTACATAATTTATAGGAACTACAAAACTTATAGCATATTTTTTATTTATGCTTATAAATAAAATGTAATGAAAAATATCTAAGAAAATATTTTAAAAAAACGTAATCTTTTAGGGTTTGTTTACATTTTATCTCTAGCCGTTTTGAATAGAATAGATAAAAATAATATTTTACCTTTTTATTACTTCTAAATTTCTTAAAAAAGTATATGATTATAAACTAGCCCTAATAACTCCTCTGTGTTACTTTTCTGATTAGTACCTAGTACAAATTCACAGGATGCTTTGGGTATATTCTGTGACCTATCCAAAGCCTTCGATTGTGTTCATCATGAAACAATCAGGAAACTTCAACACTACGGTGTAAGAAGTGATGCTTTTAAATGAATTATTTCATATTTAAGTAACAGAACGCAAAAAAATTGTCATTAATAGTATGAGTTCTCCCAGGTCGATTGTGCAAATGGGTGTGAAATCAATATATTAACTCTGGCCTCTCAATACATTTATGAAAATGTAATGTACGTA